GTGCGACCCGCCGGGATGTAAAGGAGTGTGTGTCGGTCACGAGGAGTCGCGGTCCTGCGTGGTCGTCGGTCCGAGGGCTGTGGGTTTCCACTGGGTCAGCCCCACGCATGGAGCCGTGTGGCCACTCCGTGCCTCAGGCTATGAAACGGGCTTGTGGTGTCCATCCCGCAGGACACAGGATCTGTCCCACAAACCCGCAGTGTTCCGGGTCGGTGTGAAATGGGGAGGGAAAAGTGCCCGTGGGGCACCCTCGTGCTGGCCGTGGGGTGGGTTTTGGGGAGCTCTGCTCTGAGACAGCAGGAGTTTAGTGTGGAAAGAGCATGGTGGGGCAGCACTGGGACGGACTGGGTCACCGTGCCTCAAATCCCACTGAACAAGGGGGAGAGGCCGAGGGACCCATCCCCTGCTCCCAAATGGCAGGGGGGTTGCAGTACAGTTGGGAAGGTCTTGAGGAGCTCAAGAAGAACAGCTGGGGGCATGGGGGTTTACGTGTCCTGACACAAGATCTTCTTCCTGTAGCTGGACCCTTTCTATGCCTCCATCATCCTGTTTGTGGGACGAGCTTGGGATGCCATCACGGACCCCATGGTGGGCTTCTTCATCAGCAAAACATCATGGACCCGCTTTGGCCGCCTGATGCCCTGGTAAGAGCTGCCTGTAGCACCCAACGTGCCTACCTGATATGTCACAGAGCTTCCAGTCAGCTTTGGGTGTTCCTTGCTGTGAGGTTTGCAGGGCAGGACATGCTGACGCCCTATCTCACCCAGGTGAGGTGCCAAGCACCCCAAAAAGCTCACGGTGCTGCCAACAGCTGGGGCTTCAAGTCTATTCCTGTTACTTTGACCAGTCCTAAGCCGTCCCCATATGAGCTGGGCCTGGCTGTTCTCTGTGTCACTGTGCCTGCAGCAGCTCCAGCCTCCCTGAGAGCTGCCCTGATGCCATGCTCCGATGCTGGACTTTGTTCCTGCCGTGGTTGCTGAGCCCTGGCTGGTGGCAGGGCCATATTGCCAGCAGAGCAGGTGGCATTGCAGCCATAGGATAGGGAGGAGGGACGGGGGTGTGTGCGGTTGATGCGCGGTGGTGCCAGCTGACAGTCACGGGGATGCTCTTCTGACAAGAAAACAGCTGTCATGGATTTGGGTGTCCACACGTGGGTGCTTCCGCTGCCCTTGGGCACAGGGTGCTGAGCAAAGGGAGTCAGAGCAGATGGGACGGGGTTTGCAAAGCTCTAAAGGGCTCGTGCCTGCACCCAGGGCAGACTTAGGATGTCCATAAACACCTGCCCCTCTGCGGGACAGGGAGCATTGCAGGGTGCTAATGGCTAAGTGTGGACATGGTGGCATGTCCTGCATTAAAATAACCCATGTCCTGGGCACCTGTGGGATTGCTGAAATACAATGCAGCAAGGGGGGTGGGCACGGGGGGAGTGGAATTAGAGGGCTGCAGTCCTTTCCCCCGCAGATTATACCCTCTGCTTCCGGGCTTTCCTGGAATAGCTCTGGGCAGTGGCAGTCGGCTGTTGTTAAAGCCAGGCTCCATGCATGGCCTGAAATAGCTTCCCTGCAGCCACACGTGTGGTGGGGTCTGGGGTCTGGAGATTAGAGCAGAGCTGCCCACACGGAGCTGCCTGGGCGTGCAGGCAGGGCTGCGCGGGATAGCCACGCGCTTGGATGGCCACCACGGCTCTGTTCTCTGTAATCTCGCGTCCTCGAGGCAGGGGGTGGGGATGGAGTGGCTGCATTCCTCCAAACGGCTCCTGCTTTTTTAAAATTAGCCAGAGCTTTTGACTTGCGCTGGGCCCCCCAACAGTGCCGGGGCAGCCGGCTGTGAGGAGCTTGCTGCTGTTGTACATGGCTCAAGGGCAACTGGCTGAGTCCAATTTGGATGGAGTTGAGCTGAGTTTAAACCTCCTGAATTCAGGGTTCATCGGCCACGATGGGGCTGGCTGTGTAGGGCTGCCCAGCCACAGGCTGGGGTGGGTGGGGGGGGCGGCTTTT